CTGCTGCAAAAAACGCATAAAAAGTAAGGGATATAAAGAAATATTAGTTATAGGTAAGAAATGTTTCGGTCCATTAAGTCGTATACATTTCTTACCGTTACCATAATTGGACAGCTCGTCAGTACGACGATTGTGGCAACACAGTAATTTAGTAAGGTATATTAATTAGTTAAGATAAAAAGATGTAAAGCAGAAGAAATCAAAGTAATATCAGGAAAAAAGGAAATATGTGGGGAAAAAATGTTTGGAACGGTACCATCTCACTGGATTATAAACCGCAAAGAAGTGAAATGAGAAGACAGGACGTGAAAGTTGAAAAGAAACTTTAAAGAGACAGGGGACTATGAAGAGGATGAAACACGATTTTAATGACTGAAACATTTGGCGGGGCTTTAGTCGTTTCAAGATGTTACTGGTATGTGTTAAGAGTGTTTTGAACACTGGCACTGCTTGATCACAATGTTTTACTTTACTGTTTAGGCATGTGAATGTACTGATTTTATGTACCAGCGCTCAGATTGCTTAATTAATGTGCTGTCCTTCATATCTACAGATCTCAACTTTGTGAATAATTGATCCCCCTGACTTATCTGCGTCGAAATAGGCAAGATTTTTGACATTGTTTCATATAAAAATGTTTTATATGCACGGTTTTGATAGTGATATGCTAAGGATTCGGTGAGACCGAGGGCTGGGAATGATCATCGATCTCTTCTTTGGGGTTGAACTTCAAAAATTTCATTTTCTGCGATTATTAGTAACGCCATAATGACGAATTTTATTGTATTTTTTATGTTCTGTCGGATCAGGGATAGTTTGCTATTGGTATTTTCTAGGAAGTTCATCTCTGAGAATTAAAATATTCCTCGTCCTATTGCAAAACTATGTTGTGCCTTTTCAACACGATGGTTATGTAGCGATATCATGATTTTACAAGTGTTTGATTATGATTATTATAGTTTTCCTCTAGTAGAAATATGTTCTGGTTTTTCAAAAAACTATGTTTGAGTACAATATCCATGATTTTACAAATGTTTTTAATTATGATTGCTGTTGTTTTGTTGTTGTTATTTGCTGTTATAATAAAGCGAAACATGAATGTCCGTTTTTTCTTCAACAAATTTTTTGGGTTTGCTGGCCCGGATATGACATTTCTAGGTTTAGCAGTTCATGATTTTTCTAGATTCTCTGGTTTTTAGGGGTGTAGGAAACACCTGTTTTCAGTATCAATTTTTTTAGATATTCCATTAACAAAAAAAAAAAATTGGCCAACGCACGGGCTGCCCGTGCGAAGATGTGTTTTTTGCATAGTTCCCCGTAGTTTTTGTTGCTACTGGCACCGGTTCTTTCGGCAAATGCTTTTAGCTAAACAAATT